ATAGTCGGTGGTAAGTCTGCTTTATATTGTAATCCTTCCTAGCTTTTTGCGACGTTGAATAACCTTTAGGTAATGGTGCTGGTAGCAAACCAAATCAATTAATCTATCCCAGTTCATTCGCACTCGATTCAAAGAATAACCTTTACGTTGTTGACTCGTTCAACGGCCGTGTACAGAAATTCAATGCCGTACCATGCAGTGAGTATCTTCTCAGTTCATGTGCAATACTGCGAAACTGCATAAACATTTTCACCAACACTCACCTTATGGATCATTAGAGAGTGTCTCAAGTCCTCAAGAGGTCAAATTTATTTTTTGTTTTCTCAAATCCAGCTCGAAAGGGCATGAAAAAAGTAACCGAGATAATGGGGTGAAAAGTTAGCCCACGCAAACTTTTGTGTGTTCCAAGAATCGACCGTTTTTCTAAAAGTAGTGTCCCATTTTATGGAATTTTGGAGCCCTGATCGATCTTTATTTCAACTATTATCTATCCAAATGAACAGTGGCCGTTGTCCTTTTTCTTATAACTTTCGATAAAAAGCAGCTATAGAGCTCCGGCTTTCTCTACGCGAAACAGCAGACTTGGGGACATGTTTTCATAAGCAACAGCTTATCCAGAAGAGATTTCTGAAACAGGTTTTTGTAGTAGATCTTTGGAAAACCAAATCGTGTGTAAACGTGTTTAGTAATACTAAACAGCTATTGCATATCAGAAACAAAAGAAAGCGTTTTTCTGATATTGACACTACTTTATACACTACTTTTTGGCCAATTTCACTTCTAAAATCACATTAATTACGAACAATTCCCCTACACATTGTGTCTTTTCTGTTCTGGAGGATGGTTCTTTTATTTTAGGACAGAATATGGCTATTGCTCCAAGCCCTATGCCCCAGAATGCCACATGGAACCAGGACGGACTGACAGTGCTGTCGGAAGTATCCCCTCTTGCTGTGTTCGTTGATGCCAAGAATAATGTGTACGTGTCCGATGGTGTGAGTAATCGTGTGAAAAGCGTGGGCAATGGAAAACTCGTACCCAACCGGCGTGCACCAGACTCGAAACGGTCACAATTGGATTCACCAATGAGTATCTTCGTCGATCGTAATGGGAATGTATTCGTAGCAGATACGTACAACTTTCGTATTCAAAAGTATGTTCCGCGAGCCGAAACCGGTAGGATGGTGGCAGGAACCGGGAAAGTTGGGTCAACAAACAACTCGTTTGGTCTCGTCTACGGGATCTACGTGGATGACAAAGATTATTTGTATGTTTCCGATTATACGAATCATCGAGTAATGAAATGGGCACCAGATTCTACATTTGGAGAAGTTATCGCAGGAGAAACTGGTGTCGCAGGTGAAGAAGACACTCAACTCGACAGTCCAAGAGGAATCCACGTTGATCGTGAAGGGAATCTCTTCGTGGCTGATTCTCTCAATCATCGAATTCAAAA